TGCAAATTAAATCTAGCTAAAAAATTAAAATAACTATCTGATAAAGAGAAACATAATCTGTTTTGTTTTTAAAGGAAGTAATTCAGTATTATAATGTGCAAGCAATGTAATAATGTGTAAGCAAGCATGCCGGAAAAGAATATACGTAATTAATTTGTTTAAATACATTAAATATTTAAAAGATACGTATAGCGTCGATTGTGTAAGAGTGAATAAATAATGACTCTGATAAATAATAATATATATAATAAAATATATATATAATATATTATATATTATATTAATGTTATTTTATTTACCTGGAACGTCGATACAGAAGCAAATAAACGGATACTATCAGTCGTCCCACATGTGATGTCTGTCACGTGTGATGTCTGCAGTTCATAACCTCTTTCGACGGAAAGACGATAGAAAGAGAGATTCCGATGCTCTAGAGAAACGCGTGAAACAAGGACAGTAGACTCAGCGCGACCAACTTGCCAACGTTAAATAATTTTACTTTTCACAGTTGGTGAACCTGCCCTCCTGCACATGGACAGGAATATGTCCATGTTAGAGTCCTAGAAAACAGAGATGCGACATTGAAGGGTATGGTCTGATTGGCTGTCTAAATCACATGACAAAGCACCAATCAAATAATCAAAGCGACCATTTTAATTCACTATTAAAAAGATAATAATACTGATTGTTCAATTTCTTATGGTTTACATCTCACGTGAGATGAATAATCGATTGTGATTGGTCAGTTTTCTTAAATTTTAATTCTTAAATATCATGTAGACGCTGCTTTAAGGTTCATCTACAATGAGAGTAGTAAATCGTAAACCGTAAGAAATTGAACAATCAGAGTCGAATATGAGAAGAATAATTGACTGTGATTGGTCAATTTCTTATGACTTATGAGTGCGTTCCCACTGAGCATGTCACGCGTCACGTCGTCCGTCGCGTCACAATTAATCGACCAAAATATCCTATTTTATTGCATTATTTGCCGCGCGACTCCTTGATCGCGATGCATCAATTAGGTTACTCGACATTCTAGAGCATGGAGGTAAGAAATAACAGGAGGGAGCATATTTCCCTGCGGCCTGGCTAAGCAGACGTAAGGGGGGAACATTACAAAACGCCATATTACTGTGGCCAACCAATCACATTTGGCGTAGTAATCCCGAACTCCAATAAAGTTTGTATAAAACGCCATATTACTGTGGCCAATCAATCACATTCGGCATAGTAATCCTCACCAACAAAAAGGCCTTACACTCCCTCCTGTTATTTCTTACCTCCATGATCGGAATGTACGCTAACAGAGAAAAACGTGTGTTTCCCGATACCTTTGATGTGTGCTAACAAGAAGAGGAGTATCTTTTTTCCGATATCACACACCGTTATATCACCAGGATGTGCGCTAACGTAAAATATAAATCTTGCTCCCGTAGTTAGCGCACAACAAAAATGGACGTGCTTCTTTCTGTATAAAATGAATGTTTTAAAATTTTTAAAGCAAAAGATAAAAATGCGATTAATATATATAGTTTATGGTTTAAAAGATGATTTATGTATAAAAGTACAAATGTATTTAATCGGAACATATTTTTACTTTTTGTCTGGTATTTTGTGCATAACTAGAAACGGAACAAATTGTTTTTAAAAAATTGCTTTAGGAACATTTCAATTTTTAATCTAAACTAACAATAATAAAACTTACTATATATATCTCAATATTTGACAGATCTTATACTCATTTATCCTATATACGACAATACTGCTAGCATCAGAAGAAATCACTGAAGATGAGATGTCATTTTTTATTTCTGGTGGTTTTGCTTTGAGAGAACCGGTAGCAAAGAATCCTGCTAGTGATTGGCTTCCCGAAAAATCTTGGGGTGAAGTATCAAGAATTGGCAAAATTCTGCCAGCCTTTGCCGGCTTTATGCAAAGCTTCCGTGACAATTTATTATCCTGGAAAGAGTATTATGATGTCTTAGACCCAATTAACTTGCTTCTACCGCAACCTTGGGAAACAACTTTAACATCCTTTCAAAAACTGCTCATTGCAAAAATGATAAAATCGGATTCAGTGCCAATCATGGTATTATAGAGATTATTACGTAATATAAGGCGTTTCAAAATCGTATAGCGTAAAGTATCGGTTCTGGCTACTGCACCGGCCACCATAATCACTTTCGAGAATTTTTTGTGACACGTAGTCGATGTATAAAACAGTAGCTTTTCGAGACTAATCGTCTATTTCAACAATATTTAAAATTAAAATAATGTGCATTTCTTAATGATTTAATTAAATAATGCACGGTAAGAGAGTGATAGGAATCTCTCTAATCGTTACCTTAGTCAAGAAGACGTTGAGGTAAAGTATACAACATTTTTAGGTTATAAATTCTATACTTGCTTCTGAACATGTATGCACATTGATTGAATAACGTTCTCTGAAAAGTTTAAAAACATTCAAAAGTAAAAATTTTAAAAATATTCGTATTAATAACGATGGCCAAAACCGAAACATTAAATTATCCTTTTGCCTCAGTTTTGGCCATCTTTTTAAAACTGGTGCTTACTTGTCATAATAATTATTAATGGTGGTAATAAAAATTTGTTTGCATTTCTAGAACTACAATGCCACCATAAAAAGAATCAATTTTAAAAAAAGAGTCGATATTATAGGAAAAAAATTTACTTTCTTCTCAATCCAAAGCCTTCCAAAAAAGACAATATAAGCATGAGAACCTCCTTTTTTGGAGTACACTTCTTTCTTTTCTTTGTTATGCATCGTGTTTTTAATAATTCATTGATTTGCAAAAATTGCTTTGTCTTGAATTTCTCTATTTGTCTCGTTTACTTTCTATTTTTATAAATTAGAATTTTTAAGAACCGCTGAATACGAATTCACAGTCATGCGGCCGTATTGATCATAGTCAAGGTTTATTTTCAAAATCGTCTTAAGTAGTCTTAAAATGGCGCATCGATTCATAATCGTAATACAAGTTTATACTTGAGCAAAATCTTAAGACGTAATTTATTGAAGACGATTTTCTTTGAAGACGTTGAAAATGTCTTGATGTAATTCATAAACATATTTTATTTATTTTAAACATGAACTTAAGATTATCTTATCTGTCATGTATTACATAGTTATATAAGATGATCTTATTTAACATATATTAGAACGTTAATAAGACGATCTTCGTCAAGTAAAAATCGAAGTGGATTTAAGAAAAAGCAAATGCAAGTGAAAGAAAGAAAATTAATTATATTCACTTAAAATAATAATGGATTTGGCAAATTTAATTAGAAATACAAAATAAATGTATATACATATTAATTTTGGAAAAGATAAAGAAGGAGAAATATAAATACGTGCATCGAAAAGATACATCTATAATAAACAAAATCCATTTGAATTTTTAATGAGTGTGCCAAACCACCAAATTATTTAAATTATTAAAGTTACGATCAAGCCGCGCTTTTACCGCACATCTAAGTTGTCGCTGTTTCACATGACGCGGTCATAAAAAACGTAAACAATCGGGACGGAGCAAGGTCTTCCGAGAACACAGCTGATGGACGCGGCCGACATTGCGCGACATCAGCTGACTGCCCGGCATGCCTTAAGCACGTGTGAGCCAATAACGGTCTGTAAGCCGGCGCCTTTGTTTTTCGCGTTACTCCGACTCTAGAATATTCAGGAATATTCTATAGCGATCGGCCTTGAGTATATAGTATATAACTGAGCCCTCGCCACGAGGGCTAGCTCTCGTTATTACGTCTTCGAAAAGCATCTAGCTGTCAGTTTTCGATCGCTCACGTTTCATTGTCGCGCTGAGACTTTGCCGTTCGCTTACCGCGAACTCGCGATTTCGGGACCATTTATTGTAATTTTCTTTTTATTAAAACAATGGACAATCAAGGGCAAATGAGCCAAAGGCAAGTTATTGATAGCCAAAAAACAATTATATTTAGATCGGATCCAGACGTTTCGGCTTCAATTAGGCCATATTCATTGGATCAATATAAATTATAGTCAATTAATAAAACATAGAGACTTATAATTACATTAAATACGCAACAGTAGAGACTTAAAACTATTATACATGTTTCGCTATTATAAAGAATCCATTTTTGGATGTCTATTATTTGACATATTTGAGTTGA